TCTCTCTCTCTCTCACTCTCTCTCTCTCTCACTCACTCAAAGTCTTCATTCGTATCAACTAGCTCTGAGATTGAAGGCACTTTGTTCGTGTGGACTAAGTAGAGGCGGTGTTCTTCATTCAACGCTCGTGATCATTCACCCGGATCTGCATCAAAATTGTTAATCACCACAAGAGGTAGTCGTTTCTATCACTTACCGTGCTCATTCGTAAGAATCACTTTAAAAGAGAAAATTTTAATTTTCGCTACGTTTTGGATCGCGAGTTCCCTTCAATATTTCCATTGTTCATTTTTTCTTTCTTATAATGTATCCATGCAATTTTACTTTAAATAGTTTGATAAATTTCTGATTAAGTTTTCTAGTTTGATTGGCACACGCTGAGGCAAGTTCCTTGTTTATAACTTTGAGCCTTTGTAGCCAACTCGTAGTATTAGGAGCATCCGTTGCTAGCCACTTTGAGCTTAAACCTTTCTTTCGGTGATGTAGCCTATTACTCTCAACCATTTGACTTGAAAGATCCTTTCTTTCCACCCTCTCTTTGGAGTTAGGTAGAATATAAATTCTTAAAGTGAATGAAAAAAATTAAGTTTGGGGTTGTTCTTGGAAGTGAGCAAAGTTCTAAGTTTGAGATTGGAGTACTAGAGATAAGTGGTCAAAAATTTTAAAATTGTTAGAAAATAAGAAGTGGAAAATGTCACTACTTCAAAAAAAAAAAAGATCAAATCTCTAGTATCCTTAAGAAGGAACAAAGGGGTATGAGAATAAAAAAAGAACTAGGCTCCTAACTCCAAAAATCTAAACCTACTTTCCTAAAAACATCCTACCCAAACATAAGTCAAGTTACAACATAAAAAGACCTCTTATGTGTGTGTTATGATTTCTATGATAAATTGTATTAGAACATGATCAAGCTAAGTATAATTTATTTTGCATGTTGATTGAGTGATAACTCGACCCATTGAGCGTGATATAGTAAGTTGAGCGACAAGTTGAGTACTCATCAATGTTGAAGATGTTTTTCTAATTTTCTGGATGGAAGTCGGACGCTGGAACAATGGTCATGTAACGGGAAAAAAATACTGTGATGTTCAATTGTTATTGTATGACTTGTTGTTTGTTGAAATGTTCAATTGCAGGGGTTTCGATGGCATTCTGTCATTGTATTTAATTAGTCGAAGAATCGGTGAAAACAAGCGAAATAGGAGCCAAAATGATGAAGAAAGACCCAAGAATGAGTGAAAAATAGCCAAGTATGGAAGAATGGAACTTAGTGGAAATTCTGGTGCAAAAAGAGTGAAAAATACGCAGCTACTAGAATAATCATGCGCGTCATCGCGTGCGCGATAGAGGATTAAGAGTTGCATCGCGCATGATGCTTATATAATGTGCGTGATGAATGCTTTTCTGGGCCTTTTTATGATGCGTTCTGAGTGCTTTTTAAGAGGATTTTCGCATGTTTAGATTTTTAGAGCATTTGAAGTCATTGGAGGCCACCCATTCAAGGGAATTCTTATGTTATTTTCATCTATCAATTGTGGTATTAATTTTTGAATAATGTGCATCTAAATTCTCTTAGGTTAAGTTGTGTTATGATGAACCTATTTTTATATTGTTGGATTTTATATTGATTTGGCCGTTGTATGAACCTATTGATCTATAATTCTATTTAGTTGTTGCTTAATCTTAATGCTTTTTATTTGAGATACTATGTTAATCTGGTTTTGGACGCATATGGATTACTGACCCTTAGCCTATGTGTTGGACCTAGGGCAACTATTCTACTTATGCTGGTCAAATAGGGATAGGAGACCCTGATTAGTGGCATAGGGAATTAACATTTTATACATCACCTAACCCTACTTACGCTGGCAGACTAAAGATAAAAAGCTCTGTGTAGTGGTTAGTGAGTTAATTCGTGAGGGATCGACTTTAACGGTTTTGTTAATTTGTCGTGGTTATAGTGATTAGATTATTCCTATAGGGCATCAAGCATTAACAATAAAGGAATAAAGGATTCTACAACACATCCTGCTCGCTTTCGTGGCATTGTTTTATCGTTTAATTACTTTTTGCACAGAAACTTGCAAACCCCTCTTTCTTTACTGCTTTACTTTAAATTGCACAAATCTTATCTTGTTCGAACACAGTCCTTATGAGTTCGATCTTTTTATTACTGCGACATTATCGATACACTTGTCGAGAAGTCATCAGGGGACTTATGTACATCCCAGAATTCCCAAAGACTGAGGTTTTTTAGACCTAGTACAAAAGAGAAAATAAGTCAGATTTCATAAATCCTAAGTAGGTCGGATCCCAGTCTAGGAGATAATTATTATAAGGCATGAGCAAGTTGGATCCAGTAACTTAGTGACACTGGTGGATGAGCAAGTCAAATCCAATATTGGGAAGGGTTCTAGGAGGCGTTTTGAACAGTCATAGATGACGAGTACGAAACATCTCCATGATTGCATGGGCGTTACAAAAATTAAGGGAAAAATTGTTACTTAGGGAAGACGACGAATGTTACCAGAGGTCACTTTAACATAGGATGTGAATGAGCATCCTTTTAAGGGCCATTGATGTATGGATGAGTATAAAAGAAGACTTCCCCAAATGAGGGAAAAGTACAACAACTAATATCTCTTAACAAATAGGGCGATTATGATCTCACCTTACTAGCTTCAAGAAGATTTATCTAAATAGTGTTTATCATGAACAAGAACTATAATTAATATCGTCAGATTAAAAAAATAAGAAGTAAAATAAATGTTGAAAATGATAAGTAATAATAAGGTGGTTGGGACATACAACATAACTTTTGAAGTGTGAAAAGATCTTAGAAATAGATAATGACTGGCTCTCCAAACTCTTTAACAAAATTATGAGATCATATATAATGTCATATTAATGGAGAATAAACACTTTAGTTCTAATATATAAGAACAATGAGTGATATGCAAATTATAAGAGAATTAAACTTATGAGTCATACCATAAAATTATGTGAAAAACTGATTAAACAAAGACTAAGAAAAGAGACTCAAGTTATTGAGAATCAATTTGGTTTTATGTCTATGAGGTCAACCATTGAAGCGATCTACCTACTACGACATGTGATGGAACAATATCAAATAGATTAATAAGACTTGCACTTAATTTTCATTTATTCAGACAAAGCGTGTGATATAATTCTTATAGAGATTTTGTGGAAATCCATAGGCAAGAAATGAGTTAGAATTGCTTATATTTGAGTTATCCAAGATATGTATTGTTCTGTTCAAAAACCATCGATCTGGATGCAGTTAGTAAACTGAGAATCTTGAACTGGTGATGTCGATCTCCGTTATGATGACATAGGGGTGGACCTGCATGGTTAAACACTCCAACAATAAAATAAGTTCAAGATTCAAGATGAGTGCAGTGGAAAGTGAATATTAGAAAATATACCTTGCTTTATTATGTGAACTAATCTTTGGGTTAAGTGGAGTAGATTTGAAACGAATGAGGTATTTTTCTAGCTCATAACAGTTGCCCCAAGCGTTGAGGGAGCCAGAAAGGCCTTTAATGATTTTGGCCAACTTTCAAAGACGTGGTATGATGGAACTGGAAGTGAAATGTTTGAAATCAATTGAAAAAGTAATATGAAACAAACGTATTTAATGCATTTCTAACATGAAAACGTTTCATTGCTTATTTTTAATACTCCATCCGTCTCAAAATAATAGTCTTTTAAGGTTGTTGCACATAAATTAAAAAAATCATAATTGAATAATTTATTATAACAATTTATAAAATTGTTTATAAAATTGTCCTTTATTAAAAAAAATCGTAAAAAAACTTTTATTTTAGAATAAATTATTTTAATTAAAAAAACTTTTATTTTAAGACAGAAAAAACACGTGGTTGGACGTGACAAATTAGAACATATTGCAACTTATTATGCACTCGAATTTGATGTGTTTCTATTAAAAAAAAACTTTTATTGTTAATTCCATACTCCCTTCTATTACAAATATGGACCTTTCAATCATCTTAATCTATAAACGGAATAAAGTTAAAACGTTGATATACAAGATTTTAATTATGACAAACTATAACAAAATATTACTAATATTGAAGTTGAAAAAGGTTACCATAAACACAAAATTCTCTCTAATTTTTTAATTGCAAATTCAAGTCTAAATTTGAATTCAAGACTTCTTACATTAACTTTAATCAATTCACAATCAAACTTCTTTTAACTAAATATCTATTCTATTAGATTCATAAGATTAACACGATCAAATCGATCAACTCACTGCCACCTCGCAAAACCGAACAAAACAATGAACTCCTGCTTAATAAAAAAGACAGCTCCCATCAATCAAATCTTACATAATTTTCCAATATCTATCCCATTATAAACCATCTATATGGTCCATTCTTGCCTAAAAAAAGAGTGGTCCATCAAAAAATTTGAAATATTGCTACCAAGTGCTACAAGTTAAATTGAACAAGAAGGAAAAGTGAGAAGCATCTACAAAATGGAAAAAGAAAAATGTCTTATGTTGTTGTCATAGACGATGCCTGCCATGTCAAGGCCTGCCTTTACCTAGCTGGAATTCCACCCCCACCATAATCCATTGACCCACCAATCCATCCACCGCCACCTCTACTCCCCAATCCTCGCCGCACTCTCTTTCTTTCTCGATTCCCATATCTTTTCTGAGTTCTGACTCTCTATCTTACTTACCTACCTACATACTCTACCACCTGAAAAAAAAAAAGAAAACCTCATATCTGACCTGTCAATAATCAACTTCAACACACTCAACAATTTTGACCTTGCTAATTTTCCTATTTCAATTTTTCCCACCTATTTTATTCCTTCCTCATATTACATCACACATTCGCAAATCACAACACAAACAACATTTCCCTTCCTTTGGTTCTTAAATTCAACCCCAACCTCTTCTTGCATTGCAAAATTGCAAAACATATCCCTTCTTTCTCCTCAACAAGATGAGTAATACTCTTGTCAAATCCATATTATCATTATCAACATCTTTGTCTCTAACCCAACTAATCCCATACCTAATATGCTTTACCCTTTTTCTCCTCCTCCTTGAACAGATCTCATACCTCAACAAAAAACGTTTCATCCCAGGCCCATCTTTGGTTCTTCCTTTCATAGGCAACGCCATCCCATTGGTACGTCATCCAACAAAATTTTGGGACCTTCAATCCACCCTAGCTAAATCAACCCCTTTGGGCTTTTCAGCAAATTACCTTGTTGGTAACTTCATAGTCTTCATTAGAGACACAGAACTCTCCCATAAGGTTTTCTCCAATGTTAAGCCCAACGCCTTCCATCTTGTGGGCCACCCATTTGGGAAGAAGCTCTTTGGTGAGCATAATCTTATTTATATGACGGGCCAAGAACACAAGAATCTCCGCCGTCGAATTGCTCCTAATTTCACTCCTAAGGCGCTCTCCACCTACACCTCGCTGCAGCAGATTATTATCCTCAAACATCTCAAGTCGTGGGTTGAGAAAGCCCGGGAAAGCTCTATTCCTATCCGTGTGCTGGCCCGTGATATGAATTTAGAAACCTCTCAGACGGTTTTCGTGGGCCCGTATTTGGGCCTGAAAGCCCGTGAGAGATTCGAGCGGGATTACTTTCTGTTCAACGTCGGTCTCATGAAGCTTCCCTTTGACTTTCCCGGATCCGCGTTTCGTAACGCGAGACTCGCCGTTGACCGTCTCGCCGAAACCCTAGGGACTTGCACGGCGATGAGTAAGGCGAAGATGGAGAAAGGTGGAGAGCCTTCGAGCCTCATCGATTTCTGGATGCAGGATACAATCAGGGAGATGGAAGAGTCGAAGCTCAACGGAGTGACAGTGCCGCCGTTCTCCACCAACTCTGAGATCGGTGGTTATCTCTTTGACTTTCTCTTCGCGGCACAGGACGCCTCCACCTCGTCGTTACTATGGGCGGTGACGCTACTTGATTCACATCCGGAGGTTCTTGATAAAGTCAGGGAAGAAGTAGCCGGAATCTGGTCGCCGGAGTCGGATACACTTATAACCGCGGAGCAGCTCAGGGAGATGAAATACACGCTAGCGGTGGCGCGTGAGGTAGTTAGATTCCGACCGCCCGCGACACTTGTGCCACATATAGCAGCGGAGAAGTTTCCGTTAACGGAATCGTACTCGATTCCGAAAGGAGCGATCGTATTTCCGTCTGCGTTGGAGTCATCGTTTCAGGGTTTTACTGAACCGGACCGGTTCGATCCAGACCGGTTTTCCGATGAGAGACAAGAAGATCAAATATTTAAAAGAAACTTTCTGGCGTTTGGAGCTGGGCCCCACCAATGTGTGGGTCAGAGATACGCTTTGAATCACCTTGTTCTATTCATTGCTATGTTCACTTCGTTGATCGATTTCAAGAGAGATAGAACGGACGGCTGTGATGAGATCGTGTATGTTCCGACGATTTGTCCGAAAGACGATTGCAGGGTTTTTCTGTCTAAGCGGTGCACAGAGTATCCTTCCTTCTCCAAGGTTCCGGAGCTTGGCAATTGACTATAATGCCCTTGTTCTTTGTTTAAGGTTACTACTATTTTTTATATTATTTTATATCTAAGCCGTCGCAAATGATGTGTTGACTTTGAATTTATTTTTTTATTTGATGGGTTTGATTTTTATTTTCTTTGGATAAAATGGTGGGTTTGAATTTGAAATTTTAGAATTCTTGTGAAAGTCTATATTTGAATGTGATAGGTAATTGGATGATTGATTGTTTATTGAAATTCAAATAAAATGAAAAGGACTCCAAATTCATTGAGATGAGGCTCTTTTCAACTTTTGGGATGCTGACGTATATTTCCAAAATGTGTTTGTTTTTCTTTATGAAAAAGAAAATTTAACTAGGAACGATTGGCATGGATTAAGGGGATAGATCCTCTCCCGTGGTTTAATACTTAATTTGTGAGTGGGTAAACTAAATAGATTAGTATATGTAAGGAAAAAGATGTTTTGACATATGAATAAGACATCAAATATTATCACTTAACCTAGGTATGACGTTGATTAGTGACACAATAGTAAATATTTTTATTATAATATTGTTAAACCAGTCCACGTATCGAACGCTGAAACAACAGATATGATATCTTGGATAATAGATTCTCTCGGTGACATGAGGAGAGAGTGGAATCTTGGATAATAGATTTGAACGTTTTATGATAGGAAATAAATATGTAGTAATAATTATTAAATGAATTTAATTTTTTTATAAATAAAAAATAAAAATACACAAAAATTATGTATTTTTTATAAAAATTAATTTTATTCAACATTCAATAGATGATATGTGTATCTAGATTATATATGAATTAAATATATTGATTAATCAATATATTTAAAAAATAATTTTTTTATATAATAAAAATCAGAGGTGGTATCATTTAATATTATGTCATATTTTAATATTATTTTATTTTAAAAGAAAATTAAAATTTTAAATCAATTTTTAAAAAAGTTTGTTTTTTTGAATTGGTTTTTAAAGAATTTTGAAGATTTGCGTCGACATTCAAAAGTGCGTGATATTTTTAAAATATTTAAAAAATATATAATTTTATATGTTAATTTTTAAAATGTTTAAAATTAATAATTTTATATGTTGATGTAATATATTATTTTAAAACTTTTTAAAAATATCAAATATAATACACGTATACTATCTAAAAATCAATTCCAATCAAAAATACTGATACTAAACTAAAACTTATGATTATCAGAGAATTTATTTTAAAATAAACATAATGATATGAAATATTTATTTATTTTATTAAACAATTGTACAAAACTATTTTATGCTTTATTAAACTCAAAATAATAAATAAATAAATAGTCTTTTCTTTTTAATTACAAATGATGATTACTTTTTTCTCACATTAATGTAAATATTAAATATATGTTTATATTATGCATATATTCTTTTAAATATCTTTGGTATATCTTTTGTTTAATTACAAGTACATCTTTGAAAAGGAGAATGTTTAGATAAAAATAATAAATGCATCTAATAACTTTCGTTTTCACCTTAATAGGTGTTCAAACACTTTTGGTGAAAAGTAAAAATATTTTGAAATTTTTGAGATGTATTTTTAGACACATCTACAACTACATTAACAAAAGTGTTACGAATGAGACACTTCTATTTTATTTTATAATTTTTTTTGGAAATGTATCTATGTAGTGTGGGCACCTCAATTTACAATGGTATGATTTGTTTTGTTATCGTTTTTGTCTAAACGATAAAAATTTGATCCTTTGTTCAGTTGTTCTTTAGACTGATTGTGGTCTCCCTTTCATGTAGTAATAGAACATCTATGTGTATTATCTGCAAACTCCGTGTGAATGGGTTGGCATTTCGAAAGATCAAGGTTTTGAATGGTGATTGCAATTGTAGTTACTTTGCAGCAATTGTAGGTTAACTGCACCGGATGATGTATGCAATCAAAGCATGATGCAGATATGATAGCCATCGTAATTTGCTATTAAAAGCTTGTAAATCATTATGTGTAAATTAACTTAGCAGAAAGCTCATGTTATTAGATAACTAATTTGTATATAAGATTGACAAACATTATTGGAAAACATGACTAATTAAAGGTGTCATTCATACATAATTTATTTAACACTTTACAGAGATACATTTTTAAATTTTTGTGTGTGGATAAAATAGAGGTGTCTCACTTGCAACTTTTTTATTGGTGTGATTTTTGGATGCGTTTAAAGATGCATCTCTAGACACAAGAAAGATATTTTTGGGTTTTCAAGGGTGTGAGTCACACCCCTAGAGGTGGAAAGAGCAACTCATAGCTTGCATTTTTTTGGTCCACAATTATTTTTACAGTCCAAATGCATATGAAGTCTAAAAGTACAAAGCCCAATAAAAGAAAGAGACATTTATGTTGGTATACTTCTGTAACGTCAAACCAATGACGTCACACGACACAATACATTATCCGCATTTGTAAATCAAAGGAATGTTTTAGGATCATAGGGACAATGATAAACGTGTCATAGGATAACACTTGATCCAAACAAATGATTGAAGAACGAGTGTCAGATGACAAAAATGAAACATATTATGATATTTGTATATCTAGATGGCAATTTTACATTCGAATACTCTAGTCATCCAAAAACTCTAGGAAAATCTCTATATAAGGGACAATAGACGTCAAATAAAGGTTCACACAACTTTCTAAATAAAATACCTCTCACATCCGATAGTCACTGATTTGCGCGTCAGAGTGTTTGCAAAAATCGCGCCTTATACTCATATTAATGAACCCATAGTATCTCCATTCTTGGAGCCGCATATATTTGAATAAATTAACAATAAAGTAAATGATTACTGGTCGAAAAGATCAGCTTGCATTATAAATGTGTACTTCTTTTTTAGCGAGAGCTTTCCCTTATTTTTTGTATCTGTAACCCTCTTCAAAACCAAGTTGCTATCTTAAAAACTTCTTGGATAAACTCTAGTGTTAAACCTCCTGGACATTCTTTTCTTTATTGCACATTCTCTTACATGAGCCATTCTCTCGATTTCTTCTATGAGGTCGGCCGAGTTATCTAATCCATCCTCATTAAGACTATTGTCAAAATTTATTCGACGCCAGGTTAGATGGTTGACTTCTACTGGTATCATCGCATCATTCATATACACCATTCAAAAGGGGGTCTCTTAAGTGGTAGAGTGAGGCGTAGTATGGTAAGACCATAGAATTTCGTGCAGATATTCTGCCCAAATCCCCTTCACTTCATCTAGTTTCCTTTTCATTCATGAGAGTATGGTTTATTCCCTGCCTCAGCCTGACCCTTAGCATGAGGATGTTCGACAGAGATAAACCGGTTCTAAATGTCGAGGTGTCTACAAAATTCTACGACCAATGAACTTGCGCATTACATGTCGTTGTTTGATACAATGATCCCTGTTAGACCAAATGACATATGATATTTCTCCAATAAAACCGCCTTACAGTTTTTGCTGTGATCTATGGTACAACCTCGACTTTCACCTATTTGGTGAAATAATCCACTATGAGAAATTTTAGTTGCTCAACGGTCAAAGGAAAAGGTCCAAGAATATATGCTTACCGCTAGTAAAAATGTCAAGGGGAAATTATAGAGTGCAACAACCCAGCGGGAGAGTGTATGAAGGAAGCGTAAATTTGACACTTCTTACAACAATTTACAAACCGCGTGCAATCTTGTAGCATACTCAGCTAATAGTATCAGGTCCTGAGTATTTTTCCTGATAATGCTCTTTCCCCAATATGACTTGCTCACACTCCTTCATGCATCTCTTTCATTATAAGTCCTACTTCTTCTTCAGTGACACATCTCAACTTCGGAGAAGATTTTCCCATCTTGTATAGCTGGTCGACTACCATGAGTTATCGGGAAGTTATCCTTTTGACTTGTCGAGCTTCATTCTCCTCATCCGAAAACTTTTCTTGAGTCTAGTATTCATCCAGCCCCGTACATTTTCTAATACCATGACTTCTTCCATTTCTGTGCTTGGTGTTTCCAAAGTTTCTTGGATTACCATTATGTTTAACCCAGGGCCTTTAGTTCTAGCTAGACGGGCTAACAAATTGGCTCTGATTTTTTTTCCCGGGGAATATGTGATACTTTAAACTTCATGAACCCTTTGGCTAACTGCAGAGCTTGTTATATATGCTTGAGTAATAATGCATCCTTTGTCTGATAATCTCCTTAATTTGATTTGACTAACAATTAATTGTGAATCAGTGCGAACTAGCAAATGGGGAACTCCTACTTCTTTGGATAACTTCAAACCGGAAATTACAACTTCATACTCTGCTTGATTATTGGTGGCTTGGAGATTGAACCAGAAAGACTGTTATAGTACCAATTTCCATGGTCCCTTTAATGATATCCCTACTTCGCTACCTTTGAAGTTAAAAATTGATACAATCCACAACTCAGGCGGTTTTTTTGGGATAGACGAACTCAATTCTATTAGAAAATCTGCCAATACTTGTGATTTGATGTTGTCCCAAGTTGTGTATGTGATGTCGTACTCAGAAAGTTCTAAAGCCCATGAATTCTGCCTACCAGATCTGGCTTTTCAAGAATTAGTTTTATGGGATAATTCGTCTTCACGATGATAGGTTGGTCTTAAAAGTACTGTATGAGTTTCTTGGAGGTAATTACTACTGCAAAACCTAATCGCTCAATCTTTTGGTAATGGATTTCTGCTTCTTTAAGAACCTTGCTAACAAAATAAACTAGCTTCTCATTTCCATCACTGTCCTAAACTAATATCGAGCTAACAGTTTTCTCGGAGATTGCTAAGTACAAGGTAAAGGGTGAACTTTCCTTCGGACAAATCAAGATTGTTGGGGAAGACAAGAATTTATTTAACTCCATAAACGCCTTCTCGCATTAATCCTTCCATTGGAACTTTGTTGACTTTTTTATAGCTACAAAAAAATGTATGGATGTATCGCCCGCACAAGACAGGAATCGGGACAAGGTGG